TGCTGGCCCACGGTGAAGGGCGTTCTGTGCCACTGCCTGCCTCCCCGCCTCTGCTCTTGCTGTTCTACTCTAGCCCAGCGAGTGCCATTGCTCTCACAGCAGCTGTTCGTAAGCCCGCTGTTGTGAAGTGATGTCACATCACTACCTCATAAGCTCTGAGATGTCACCTGAGGCACACACGGGCAAGGCGCAAGGAGCCTGCCATTCATTCACAAGGACAGCTCACCCCGTCCCGACCCTGAGATGTAGCTCCTTACTCTGACCCCAAAGCTCATGGCCCTGGCTTTCTCCCTCTGTTGCCTTTGGCCTGAGGGCAAGGAGAAAATGAAGTGAGGACTTCGGATTTGAACCTGTAGCCTGTAGTATTCATAACTCATGCATATGAGAGTTGACTGAAGACTCCAACCGGGAGCTTTCTATAAGGCCCGTTTTCTGGTCTTGTCTTGCCCTTCGACCTGTCTTGTTGGGACAGCTCTGTTCTGCAGCCCTGTGTCACATCTAAAAGCACTCAGATCATCCCTTGCCACCCCCTGGACAGCCTGGTTCCTCGAGTCTCCGCCCCACTACTCAGGTTTCTGACAGTGGCCTCTGCTTCAGGTCCCCTTCCAAGGATGAGTCTGGCTCAGCCTCCCCCGCCCCCAGCCCACATCAGCAGTTGTAAAGAGAACTTGCTATTTAGAAGAGAATCAGAACTGTCAGCAGGACATAAATATTCATAGAGGGAGGTTAGAACTGAGTCCCTAAAACCTTGATTTGTGTTCGCCCATTTAAGCCTCATTAAAAAGTGGCAAATGAAAGTAAGGATATTCAGTATAACTGCAAATAAATTGGGCTTGTTCAGAAAGAGACCCCCGACTGCCAGCCCCTCAGGCCCTGTCCAGAGCATGAGGGCAGAGCAGCTTGGCCACAGCCTCAGCTGTGAGACATTGCCCAGCAAGAGGGCCTGGCCTTGCTCTGGAGCAATTACCACTTGTCTGGGCACCTGGGCACCTTCCAGAGGCATTCAGGGATGGAAATCCTTAACCTGATCCCTCCCCAGAATGGCCTGCAAACCGGGGCCCTGCACAAAAAGCAGCAGTAAGGACTGATCCTGGACATCTGGGGCGCTGCGCTAGCTATGTGCAGGCACAGCTGTTTCCTTGTTTTAGTGAGCCCAAGGATTTCAGAAATCAGTTGTCTAACCGTGAGCCATTTGTTCCCAGCCACTCGTTCTACCCATGTGGGGCTGCTGCTCACTCCAGCCACAAGGAGGGAGACTGAAGGACACCAGGCCATGTGGGCACAAAGGTGGCAGGTGTCCTAAGGAGCTGCAGACTTGGGCATTCTTGGAGGCCAGGCAGGTCATAGTCACAAGTGGGGTTGGCCAGTCTGTGGGCTTCCAGCCTGGGAAGATAAAAGCTTGAACAGGAGAGGCAGTATAGAAAGGGCTGGCTTTGCCAGGTAGGGGGTAGGTATCCTCCAGCCAGGCAGGAGGTCCAGCTGCATAAGTAAGAGTTAGGCCCCAGCACGGCCTCTGGCTGCGTGTCACTCCTGTGCCACGAGGACATAGTCTCAGGGATTCGCCTGTGTTGGGCAGTATTCTGTGAGGGGCACACATATCAGACTGCTGTCCCCAAGTCAGGCTCTCTAGTGTCCCCTCCCTACGCTACAGTTTGGGGAAGGCTTCTGGCTTCTCTGGGGACTGCTGAGTCTGCTGGCAGAGGCTGTGCCCGTCAGCAGAGAACCGACAGTTACCTCGCGCCTCTCTACAGGTTATTCCCTCACATGAAGCCCTCCTTACCTTTCATTCAAACCCACCAAAGTGGCTGATCCAGGAATGTCTGAGATGACTGCTGTCCAGGAACTTCAAGTGCAACTTTCCTGACTCCTGACCCCAGGCTAGAGAAGATTCTTCAGGGTAGCTCCAATAAGGAATGGCGTGAGACAGACAGAAGTGCCCCTGTGAGTCCTCAGAAAAACCACTCCATCTAGGGAACCCTAACCTTTCATTTGGCCACGTTTGCTGTCCCTCATGGGGACTTGGTAAGGGTAGCTGAACTCAGAGTTGGAAAGGGACTATTACAGGGTTCCAGAGAGCCCTCAAAATACCCAGCCACCAAAAGCAAGGCGCCAGCCAGCACAGCTCCAGAGAAGTGTCTACTTTAGATACCAGGTCAAGGCAGAATTATGGTGTTCTATGCCAAATGCATAAAAGTAGCTAGTACCCAGGTGTGGATAGCCCAGCCCAGGATTTTACAAACCATTTTCCCACCACTCAGGTATTTTCTTTAAGATCACATCTCTGAAATGACAGCAAATGGGAGAAGATATAGCTGGCAGCCCTCCTTTCAAGAGCTTAGCTACTTCGCTATTGAGTTATGCTGACCTTGGTGATAGGCAACGGTTCTGCGCAGGAGCCACATCAGAAAGAAATAGAAGTGGTTTTAAGTTGCATTGTTTCGCCAATTTTTATTGATTCTCAGAAAAATGCCTGTCGTGACAACACAGACTGCACTATTAGGATGAATCATGTGAGAAAGATGCCCCCACTCTTTAGCCCCTTGACATTTAACCCCTTCCCCACGTGGAGACCTGGGACCTCGAGCTGTCTCTGCAGTGTTTCCTTCTTGGCAGGTTCTGCTGGTGGAAGGCCTGGATCACCCACTCCTTGTTTCCCAGGACTCAGTCTGGCAGTTCAAACTTTGAAGCCCTCTGCCAACAGTAAAGCTGGGCCCTGCCCAGTACAAACATGGCGTAGGGAAGCAGGGTGGTGCTAGGGTCAGCCCCTCCAGGGCACTGGTGCTGGGAAAGCTTAGCGCTCTACACCTGTCTCTTGTCTCTTTCAGATTGATGGGCTAGAGGAGAAGCTGTCTCAGTGTCGCAAGGACCTGGAGGCTGTGACCTCCCAGCTCCATAGGACAGAACTGAGTCCTGAGGACAGGTAATGCCTCTGTCCTCTAACACCCTAGTTTTTGGCCCCCTCATTCAAACAGAAAAGAACTACTGCCCGTCTAGTTAAGACAGAAAAAAGGTCTGAGCTGTGAACTCCTTCCTTCCCCACAGGAGGTCTCTGGAGAAGGAGAAAAGCACTCTCATGAGCAAAGCCTCCAAGTATGGTAAGGAAGTACCCTCCCATTGCTGTCCTGGTCCCGGACAGCAAAGGGTCTATATTCTCTGGGAGTGTGTCTCTCACCCGCAGACACTGGATTCTGCATCCCGCGCCTGACCCAACCAGAACAACCCACATTGGGAATGGGGTGGTTAGAGGACAGCCCCTACTTGGGCAGGAAAGGGCTTCTGTGGGTGGAGCAATGCTGCCACCTTCTGGGTGCAGGTAGCAGAGTCAGTTAGAGCCCAGCAGCCCCTGCCCTGGGTCGGTCGGCAGGGCCCTCAGATGTGTCCCGTTTCGTCTCTACTCAGAGGAGCTGGCTGGCAGTCCTCCCAGTGCATTGCCTAGGTAGGGCGGGGTGACCAGGACATCAGTTTACCCTGTACAGAGTAGAAACTGCAGACCAGTGATGACTGTCTATGAATGCAGCTTAGGAATAGCGGGGCTCTTTCTAGTGCACCTTTAGACAGCAGGAATCCAGGAACTGTGTGAGCCCAAAGCAGCTCCAGCTGTCTCAGAGTTCCTAGCTGGCTGAAGAGACTCCAGGAGGACGAGCCCTTTGGTGGCCTTACCACATACCTAATACACAGAGAAAGGGCTGAGCAAGTCAGGACTGCTCTTAGGTGTAAATCTAGCTAAATGATTAGAGGGTATAGGCAGATCAAGGACAGGGCCAGGTTTAGGAATACAAAAGGAGCTGGAAGGAGAAGCAGTTAGGTGGGACTCAGTGTTCTGTCTTGTTCCCATCTTTTTCCTCCCAGAGAAGGAGCTAAAGCTGCTTCGGCAAGAGAATCGGAAGAACATGCTACTCTCAGTGGCCATCTTTATCCTCCTCACCTTACTCTATGCCCACTGGACTATGTGAGTCAGCATCCTCAGCCATGCAGGTTCCCTTCCACTCCCTACTCAGGGACCAAGCAACCTTTGAAGCTCAAGATGGAGGGGCCTTTTCCTCCAGTGGTTGCCCAGCAGCTATAGCAGCAGGGCGTGGCACTGCCTCTTCCTCAGGAGAGGGGCAATAAAGAGCCCAAGCTCTGCTGTCCAGTGAGTAAATGTCTGTGGCTGACTAGCCGAGGGGCAGCAAGGGAGGCACTCCTGTTTCAAAGACGAAGGGGTGCTCCCAAGTTCTCGTGCACAATGAGAGGGAGGGAGGGAGGGAGGGAGGGAGCATTCTGTGCCCCGGGCCAGTGTCCTGGCCTGCGATCACACTGAAGAAAATGCAGCATGCATGGTAAAAGGTTCAAGTGGAGGTCCAGGAGCATGCTGGACAAACTCATCTTCTAGAGACAGGCAGGGCCAAGGAGGCCTCCAGGAGTGCATGGCCAGCAATGACTGATGGTGACAACAGCCAGTAAGTAAGGTGGGTTGATGAGAAAGAAGCCAAGCAAGAGCAGCTAACAAAAAGTCACCCCAGCCCATCCACTCAGGGTAAAGGTCATGAGGAGAGGGAAGGTGGCTGCTGCAGGACTGTGGTGGTGAGGCCCAGGACAGACAGGAGCCAAACAAAACAAACACTGAAGCATGAAGATGGGATCAGATGGAGGCTCAGCGGGCATCCCCTCAGTGGAGAACACTGGCCTCTTGTGGAGAATGCTGGCTAGGGTCAACGAAACACCCACCCTTTCTCTCTCCTGTCCCTTGTCCTCTGACATTGATTAGTCTGACACCTCTTATTTTAGTCACACAGACTGATCTTGGACTGTCACAGTGAGCTGTGTGGTTTATATAAGAGAGGGAAGGTGTCTCCCCACTCTCCTGAGGCTGTGGATTCATTCATTCATTCCCCAACCCCAGCTTCAAACAGAACAGCACCCCCGATGCCTCCGGGCTGTCTACCAGGAGCTGGAGAGGCTAGATTCCACACCCTCCCCCATTTCCTCTTAAAGTCAGACCCTAACCACAGAGCCCCACAAGCAGTAAAAATATGTTTAATGATCCAAGATTCTGCAAGACACACTGATAGGCCCAGAATTGGGTGGAAATATGGCATCATAGCACTGTTGCTGCTGGCTTAGGGGTAGGAGATAGCAGAAGGGAGTCAATTCCAACCTCACAGGCACCTCAGTGCCCTATCTCCAGGGAAACCAGCCTGATGCTGGCATAGGGCCCTAGGGACCTGTGTAAACATCTCTTAGAGGTACTTCCCATTAAAAACTACCACAGGTGCCCTTCCTCCCTCTTAAAGAGACAGGAAATGGAATGACCACATATGTACCTCTTAGTGGAAGAGGGGACACCAGAGCTACCACTAGCTCAAAGCTCTACCAAGAGCCTCAGGTGACCTGAACTGCCTGAGGGCTGGTGCTACACCTACCCTGGAGAGGATGCCTTCTGTTACTGCTGAGAGGGAGAGAAAAGGGCGGGTTTTAATGCTGCCCAGTGTTTAGAACACAAGAGGTGGACCCATGAAGGCCTTTCAACTCAAGAGGCAGTCACAGTCACAGCTAGGACCCAAGGCTCTAGTGTGTCAGTGATGCTGGCCCTCACTCCTTCCCGGCCTGCCAGGATGAACTCCAGGATGGGGATGGGAAAGACAAATAAAACTCTGATTTATACAACAGCTGCTTCTGGCCAGCACATGACAGTGAGCCTCCTCGCTTGGCTAGCCTGGTAAAAGTTGGAAAAAACAAGGCCTGACTGCCCTTTGGGGGCAAAAAGTGAAACTCAGAAAACAGAGTCTACAAATTCCAGAGGGCATAGCTGAGCCCAAAGCCTGCCACTCTGGCAAGTCCTAAGCACTGACCTGCCTCGAGCAGCTGCTTTCAGGCTGACTCCTGGTGGGGTCAGTTCTCAGGCAGCAGAGTTCCACAAGAATGTGTCCTCTCAAGAGCCTGGTTGAGCTCCTCGGGAATGGAAAGGAACCCACCTTCCTCATGACCAAGGAGAGCATCATTCCCAGTTCCTTTCCAAGAGGTGAAGGAACCAGACACAGGGCCCTCCCTGCCTTGGGAATGACAGGACATTCATCAGATGGAGATTCTAAGATCCTCCAGGATTGTGACTCTGGATGAAAGAAAGGACATCCTCCTTGGACAGCTTGTCTGGATCCTGGGACTTCTGGGAGTCGCGCATATGGAAGCCATCTCCCCACTCCCAGAAGAGCCGGCTGTAGTAGCAGGTACTGGGAAGGGGAGGGGGCAAGTCAGAGTGCTGAACCTAAGTGGCACAGGACCGAGAGACCACTAGCCCACCCTTGGCAACCATATGATTTCAAGGATGGGTACTTTTAAACTGGGTTCTGTCAGTGACTCAAGTTGAGAATTCCCTCTCTGGCATCCAAAAGGTACCCACCTCAGTACCTCCCATGCCTCCAAGAACTAACATTTGCTGCTACAACCCACATCCTACTCAACTCTATTGGAGTTCCTAGCTCACCTCCTTCATTAAGAGACCGGTATTATTTGGCTAATTTTAGGTTCCATAGGGGCCGCTGCCAAAGTCCATGTCCAGCAGCAGTCTGACAAACATGGTATGTCCTTAAGAGGAATGGGACCTTGAGTCATAAGGGGCAAGGCTGGACTGCTGCCACATGTTCCTCAAACCTTGCGGGTGTCCCACATACCCCGTCCCCTCATACCAGTGAGCTCTGTACCCAGGCCTATATGTGGGACAGCTTCTGCATGACCCTGACAGGTTTCAGGCCAATGGAGGGCTACTTACTGAAATGGGGCAATGGAATCTGCAGGGAGTTGAAAGGTAGAGTCCTGGGTTTTCTTGTTATAGAAGAACTTCTTCTTGAAGCTCTTGCTGAACGCCATGGTCCATGGCTCTGAGGGGAAAGGGCGGGTACTGAGGACAGTACCCATGGAGATGGGTCTGGCCAACAAGGACACCCTTCCTTTCTCCTGCTTATCTCTTCCAGCCTCCACAGCTAAACACAAATGGCTCAGGAGGGTGGCAGATTATTACTTCCCTAAGACCTAGCCTGGTCCTGCGAGAGGCCATGCTTACCTGCTGAGAACACATCTATAGTTTCTTCTCTCCCTGCCCCAGCCAAAGATCAGAACAGGCCTCATCTGGGGGTGTAATGTTCCCGGCAGGTACCTCAGAAGTTGCCAGCTGACTGCTGTCCACCTCAAGGAAGTCTGGGCCAGTCACCCTGGCTGGGGAAGGGGAACCTACCGTTCATAGTCCTGACAATGTAGAGGCCTGTGGGCACAAAGTGCCGGTCATCCCGTCCCGTGTAGCTGAGCTTTGGTGTGCCACCGGAGCCCTTGATAAGCTTCATCTCCAACCTGGTCCCAAGATCGGGGCATTCAGGAAGCACACGCACAGGGGACAGAGTAGGGCATGCTAACGTTAGCCTCTAGGTAATTCAAGGTGACACGAGTCCCAGTAGTGTGTCCTAGTTTGGCATAAGAAACCAAAGCCCAGACCCTTAAGCACACTGCTCCAGGGCAGTGTTAGCACAGCTCTGCTCTCCTAGTCAAGCGGTGGGTGCAGGCCAGGCTACACAGCGCCACCAACAAGGGGGGATTAGAAATGGGGACGTTGCTGGGTCATCAGATGACCACAGAGCGCTCTCACAATGAGACTCATCTGTTGATACATTTGCCCTCACAGATCCTCACAGCACTCTTTAGTGCTTGAAGCAGCTTGCTTCTCCACCCCTTGAAAGGACAATCCTAGCGATTCCGGCATCAATGAGCCTGAACTTCTGTCTGACATAGTTACCCTGCACCCTCCTACAGGTGCTGAGCTAGCTAACAGCTGGGATCCAGCCGCAGGAAGGCAGGGAGTGAGGCAGTGCCGGGACCCAGCTCTGGAGCCCACCCTGCAAACAGAATGAATCTCAACCCACTCTGCACCCACCACCAATCTAAACCACACCGGGTGAGTTACTCACCTGACAAAAATCTTCTCCATCTCTTCCAGCCTGTACACCTCCTTCACCCTGTGAGTGGAACAGGAGAGGAGTCTCCTGGGATATGTGTGTGAAGAGCATGACAGGAGGCGCTAGACCTGCCCCTGTCCTCAGGCCCTCTCTGCAACCAGCAGCACACAAGTGAGGCTGCTGGGTCTGTGGCACTGCTCTCCTACAGACTACCTAGGCTTCAGAGCTGCCACATAGCCCCTTGGGTATGTACAGCACCTGGGATTCAGCAGTGAGTCTGAAGACAGGAGAGAGTAAAAGATATGGCAGGCAAATCTGTCTGTCACCACCCGTATCCACCAGTAACCTTCATTGACACCACAGGCCAGACATCCAAAGGCCAGGCTTTTGCCTGCATCTGTCTACATAAACTTTAGATCTTCCTGTCGCTGAATTAGTCTAAGCAGCACTGGCAGGTGTGTTACTTTGAGGGCACAGGCCCTATACAGGCTGTAGGCTCTACTTTGAAGCACAGCCTGCACATCTGGGGACACCAAACCTACCCTGGGAACTGCTCTCAGGTGAGCTGCCTGTTGAAACCAGCAGGCAGGACATCAAACAGCACAAGCAAAGCTCACTTCGAGAACGCCCACGTCCTCAGTGCTGACTGACTTCTAAGTTCATTTAGATGAACACTGCCAATGACTCTGGAACTTTACCCTACCTCCTGTTGATAAGCCCACCCACTCCTCAGACACCAAGTCTCACCCCCTTAGCCATCTCCTTTCACATCAAATCCCCATTCCCTTGTGTGCTACCTCCTTACCAGGAGGCCATGCAATTGGCAAAGAATACTCCAGTCTGAAAGGTAACTAACTCACAGGGCCTGAGGCATGTGTTTCTCAAATCAGGAAACAAACAGTAACCTATCCTGCTAGGCAGGACAGGGAGCTGCATCCCCAAGCCACTGACAGGGCAGTTTAGCTCCAGCCCCTTCCACAACCCTCCCATCCTTCGTAGGACAGGAGAAATAAGCAACAGCCACAGCCCTATGGGGTCTGGGAGGAGGACACATGCTCTGCTCACCTGATAGGATTCATGTCAGGTCGACTGGGCTTGGAAACTGCCTTCACAAATTTCTCCGCAAGCTGAATTCTACAATCCAAACAGAATCCTTAGAGGCAAGCCAGGGGACCTCACCAGCACCTGTGTCCCAAGGCATTTTCACAGCGTCAGTGAGAAAACCTGGACTTACACAAAACTTTCAAGTGGCAGTATTCATGTCCTCTAGAGCCCAACCTGTCTTCTGGATTCTGACCCCTGCGAGCTGGTTTTCCTAAAGTGTAACTTTTGCTTGACGTCCACTAGGACTTCAAGAACTGCTATTGCACACATCTGCTCTTTCACCCTAGCCCGGGTACCCCAAACTGAGGCTATCCACAGTCTGACCAAGGTCTTTAGAGGAAGCCCTCTCTGGTCAAACAAAGTCACCCATATTCATTCTTTACACACACAGAGACGTCAATCTGAGCAACTGTAGCACGGTGAAATGTGCTAGACTCTGGCAGCCAAGGCCCGCATCTCAGTAAAGCGCGTCTTTCCTCCGGCCTTTGGGCCAGCCTGTGGTGGATGAGGGAAATCCCGCCCTCCCTCCCCTAGGGCCCAGGCACACCGCTGGTTGAAGTGCTGCTCTCGGACATCGCTGCCATTCAGCACCAGGACATCGAGGATGTGGATTGCACTGATCTTCCGCTGGGCCTTCCCCTGCAAGGGACAAGCACGCTCTCCACTGTGCAGGTGCTAGCCTCTGGCCTACAGTGGCATGCAGGCTCCATCCACCCAGAGTCAACTGGGAAAGTGGTATCTGGCCTCCCTGCCAGCTGACCCTAAGCAAAGACTAGCTTGGACTTGAGAGCTGGCTTTAGGGGCATGCACCCTCGTGAATCTCAAACACAGTGAGACTGTGGCCATGCTTGCTTCTGCCAGGACTGGCTTTCCACTGTTGCCTGTTCACATGGGTGTTCTAAACGTCATCCCTATACAGAAATAACGCAAACCTCACAGAAATGGCAGGTCTCTTCCTAAGAGATTGCTACTAAAAACACCTGGCAGGTGTCAGGACTGTGGATAGAGACTTTCTGTCTGCCCCTTCCCAGTGTCTCCACAGTACATGGCAACTGCTTTAGAGGGAATTACTCCATCACACATGAAACAACGCTAAGGTGGACGGCCAGGCTTCATGGTCCCCCTCTCGCCTCAGGGCCATCTATGAATAGAAACCCTTCTGACCTCGCCTTTCAGCTCATGCACAATCTCCACACAGAGCAGCGTGTCCCGCGGCAGCTCTGTCTTCAGGTCCAGCTTCACCCAACGGTCTGACTGGCGGCCATCCCATGTGTAGATCTGGGACTTCTGCAGGCAGGAAGAAAGGTAGCATGGACACTGAGGAAAGGAAGGTCGATTCTCAAAAGAGCTTTTACTTGTGGCTGCAAGCAGACAAGGGCCAGCCAGTGTCAGTAGAAAATGTCTAGGAGAGGTGGTTTGTGAAACTTTCCTCCTCAGCCTCCACAGGAGAGTAGAGATGGGCGCCATCTTACTGGTAGGGAACCCTACAAAGGCCTTCATCTAGTTTGATGTACATGTGGAGGTTGGGATTACAGGAACAGGAGAAAATACAAAGTAAAGCCACAAAACAAGTGACTGGGGAAGAGTCAACTACGTGGAAGGCAAGGGGTAGGAAAAAGCAATGGCTGCTTGTCAAGTAAGATGTAAAAGTTAACAGGCAATCCCTCCCTCTGTTAAGCCAACAATGTCCCAGAGGAGGGAGAAGGGTGTCCTCTAGACAGGAAATGGCAGGGGGTGGGATTGGAGAAAACTGGCCACCCAGGACAAGTCTGAGGGCTCTACATTTCAAGAAAAGCAAGAGCCTTGCCTTCAGCAAGGCAGGGATCAGCAGTGAAGAAGAAAGAAATATGCTTGACAAACTCTGGGCACAAAAGAGAGTGGCCAGCACCCACATCTCCAGACAGAAGACACTGCTACCACCCCGAGGCCACGGGAGGCCAGCTGTGACTTACCCCCAGGCCCAGGAGGAATTTCTGCTCGCTGCCAGACACCATGCAACGATAATCCAACACAGGGCGGATCTTCTCCAGGGTTTTGGCAGTGAGCATTGTGGGCTTGTAGCTAAAGATGTTGATGTCGGTGTCCTGTGGAACAGATGAGAAAAATGCTGCTGTGCCGGAGCAGGCTGCAGAGGTGAGGGACAGGAATCATCTGCTCTCTGAAGCAGGCTCTCCTGCACCCTCCTCTCCACCCAGCCACTCCCTAAACAGAATCCATTCCTATCTGCTCGCAATGTCCTTTTAGGCCCTACTAGGAGAAACTAGGGAAGGAAAGAACACTGAGTTTCAAGTACAGAAGGATTTACCAGAGCTGTGGGGAATGTCACCAGAATAGAGCAGCTACGCAATCAGTGACACCAAAAGCAAGGGTTCCCCAACAGTTGGCCTGAGAGCAGAGAATTAATCTCTCTGCCCCATTCAGAAAAATGTAAGCATCTTGAACTCATTCTTTAGTCTTTGGCCCTCACAAAACCAGCACAATGACCACAGCTGGGCCAGACTGAAGTGACACCCTGGAGGCTGATGCCAGAACACTTAAGACCAGCTCACTAAAGACAGAATAGAGACGCTCAGGCTAGACCCACTGTGGCTCTTTGCAGTTCCCAAGATCATCAGTCATCCCCTCTCTCCCAAGCAGACAAATCCCATATGACCTTTAATTTTTTAGAACCTTTTGGGTGGCAGAATGCTGGCCCACACCCATCTTGATTCTTGCTGGCCAGAGTTATTCTTGGGAAACCCTATGTAAAACAGCAAGGCTCTCACTTGTGGAGACCTTAGTCCACTCCTTTAGGTTCCAAGGTTGATGCCTTCTTTTTTTTTTTTTTGGTTTTTTGAGACAGGGTTTCTCTGTATTGTTTTGGAGGCTGTCCTGGAACTCACTCTGTAGACCAGGCTGGCCTCGAACTCACAGAGATCCGCCTGCCTCTGCCTCCCGAGTGCTGGGATTAAAGGCGTGCGCCAGGTTGATGCCTTCTTAATCCTTATTGGAAGTCAGGTACCTCAGTGACACCTTCCATCCCTAGAAAAAGGCCCTTAATATATTGCCACAGAAGCCAGATTTACCTTGATTAGCTCAAAAAACTTGAATTTTGGGTCTGAAGAAGAAGGAGCAACTCGAGCTCGGTCTGGGATCTGCAAGGAGAGAGAGATACCAAAGGTTTTTTTTTTTTCATTTATGTGTGTGGATGTGTTGGGGGTCTATATGTTCGTGTACCACGTGTGTGCCTGCAGAGACCAGAAGAAGGCATCAGATCTTTAGGAACTGGAGTTACAGGCAGTTGTGAGCTACCATGTGCTGCAAACCAAATGTGGGTCCTCTGGGAGAGCAGCTAGTGCTCTTGACCTGAGCCATCTCTGCAGCCCCGGCTTTGGTTTTCAAGTGCCCTGTTGATACATCGTGAGGACACATGTTTAGGCTGGGTACAGAGGAGATGGCACGCAAGCAAGCAGGCCTGGCAAGGGAGCTAGAGGTAAAACATTCACTCCCTGTCACGACAACTCAAAAAGCCAAGTCCTTTCCTCTATGTGTGTAACTACATGGGGTCATCAGGGCAAAACTGTGTTCTTTTGGCCCTTCTGCAGACCAAGCTGTAACTTGCAACATGCCAAGGAGCTGGACACCCTTTCAGGTGGGGGGTAAGGTGACAATCCTGTTTTCATCTCCAGCTTCCTGGTCTGGAGTGACAATGGGCTGCTTACCTCCCACAGTCGGAGGCATTCTTTCCGGATCTCTGCCTGCCTAGGCTCACTCAGGGTGCTAGAGAAACAAAACCAGAACAAGATTTAGACCTCTAAGGGGCCCTGTGATCTTCTCACCTGCTTAGAGGTACACCTCCAACAGTGAAAATTAGAGTCCACATAGAGGACTAACCTCCAAAGGCAACTCAGAATTTATATACTGAAATCACTTCCCTTCCCACCAACTGCAGCCACCACCTGGATGCCCTCCTTCCCTCCACCATCAAGCATATTCTGATTTCTGATCTCAAAGACATTGACACTTGATATCCCACAAGGCAAACTGAACCCACAAGAGTGGCTTTTAAGTCACTGTTAAAGAAACAGAGTTGGTGGGAAAAGCAAAGAGAGGGCCTCCTTTGACATTGGTGGGAAATAGCAGTACTCACGTGTCTTGTACAAAGGCATGTATTTTGGCCAGAGCTTTGATCTGCAGGCTGCAGTGGCTAAGAGAAAGCAAACAAAAACACAATGGCATCAGTGTAGAAGTGTAGCCAGAGCAGTGGCCATCTGTATGTGAGGAAGCTACCGGTGAGTTAAATGGAGCCCAAAGACAGAGCAGAACAAACCTGAGCTGAACCCTCATCACAACTCCTGCTGAAAGGAAGGTTCGTATCCCACTCTTACAGAATTCAAACACAGTGGTGAACTGGCTCTAAGCAACAGCAAAGGCCCCGCCCAGTTCAACTGCAGACATCACTGACAAACCCACTGCACTGACAACTGTCCTTTAGCCTGGCACACACACAGTGTCTGGCACTTAGTAAAAACTACTGAGGGGGCTGGGGAGGTGGCTCAGCAGGTAAAGTGCTTGCTCTGCAAACATTGGACGAGAGTCCAGGTTCTCAGGACCTGAATAAATCCTGGGCAAGCACTGGCAGCTCGCCAGAGATTCCAGCACTGAGGAGGTGGAGACAGGATCTCTGGAACAAACTGGCTAGCTAGGCTAGGTGAGTTGGTGAGCTCTAGGTTCAAGTGAGAGACCCTACCTCAGTATATAAGGTAGAAAGCATTTGAGGACGACACCTGACATCAACCTGCGGCCTCTTGAAAACCAGAGGAAAAGGCACATAATACACAAGAAAATAATGACAAAACTAACAGTGGCAGTTGGAGGTGGCTCAGTGGTTAAAAGCACCCACATCAAGCGGCTCACAACCACCTGTAACTCCAGCTTCAGGGATCCAATGTTCTGGCCACTGCAGACAAAGGCACTCGCATGCACAGACACAAAATTGGAAAGAAAATATTTTTTGATAGTGAACTTCCCGTCAGAAGAAAGGGATGTGAGAAACGTGGACTATCGTTAAAGTGGTAAAAGAAAAAATTTCATATCTAAATAAAATGTTCCTCAAAAATAAGATTGGGGGGGGGTGTCTGTTTTATAGGTTGTTCTCTTGAGACAAGGTCTCACTATGTAGCCTTGCCTGTCTTAGAAGTCACAGAGATAAGCCGGCGCGGTGGTGGCGCACGCCTTTAATCCCAGCACTTGGGAGGCAGAGGCAGGCAGATCTCTGTGAGTTTGAGGCCGAGCTGGACCAACAGCCTCCAAAACAATACAGAGAAACCCTGTCTCGTAACCCCTCCCCCCCCCCCCCAAAAAAAGAAATCACAGAGATCCTCTGCCTCCTGGGTGGTGAATTAAAGGTGTGCATCATCATGCCTGACTAAGAAATACATTTTAAAATAGACAAAACAGACTGAAGGACAATGAATGCATACAGGACCAGGCTCTCCAGGAGGTCGTGTGCCAGGAAACACAAGGGCAAGACACTGACTTAACATTCAGGAGGATCCCTGATCTAACCAACCACCGCTATACAGATACAGACTAAGACTTTCTGAAAGAAAACAAATCATTCACCAGAAAAAAAGGCCTAAATGGATTTCCTTATCAAAATTTTAAAATTTGAGATATTCAACCTGGAAAGGAAATAAAATTATCTTATTTCACAGATGGCACACCAATGGAACAAGACAGAAAGCCTAGAAAAAAATATTGACTACTACTCATTAGCATCGCTAATAAAACTGCAAAAGATTTTTAGAAAGTGTGCCAAGACTACTTAGTAGAGAAAGGACAGTCTGGAAAACTTGAAAAAAATGAAGTGGGACCATTAATTAATGCCATATCTAAAAATAATTAAAAAATAAAATACCTTAACACATGGGTTACACTTACAAAGCAGCAAACAAAAAAACGGAGAAGCCTCACACAAAGTGTAGTAATAAAAGAAATTAGTAAACCAGGCCACATTGATGCTAAAAACTTCTGTGAAAAGGACATAATACAGTGAAAAGGCCACAGGGCAGGAGACTATTACATACCCAAGTCTAGTAAGGATGTACGTACAAAATACATACAGCCCTTTAATTCAATATTAAAAACAAAACTAATGCTTAAAAAATGTCTGAAAAGGAGAGGTGACCAGATGGCTCAGCAGTTGAGAATGCACACGGCAGTGGCTGGGTGCAGTGGTGACATCTTTAATCACAGCACTTGCAGGCAGAGGCAGGCCGACCTGAGTTAGACGCCAGCCTGATCTACATAGTAAGTTCTAGGACAGCCAGGGCTACACAGAAAAACCCTGTCTTGAATAAAACCAAAAAAGGAAAAAAAAACAGCAAAAAACCACACTGCTCTTGCACAGGACCCAGATTCAGTTCCCAGTACCCATGTGGGGTAGCTCTCAACTGCTTGTAACTCCAGCTGGGGTGGGGGCAAAAATAGCCTTCCATCACTCACCCACCTAAAGAACCCTGAAGGGACAACAGTTTGTCACTCACAAAGCAGAAACCACAAACTTTTCCAAACTGTAGTGATTTAAGAGATTACCCTGTCTACAGACCACAGGCTTTCTTTTCACCAGGGACCCACTCTTGGGACAGGAGATGCTAATGTCCTGAGTAACAGTAACCAGAAAATAGCCCAAAGTCCACAGGCAGCAGAGCAAACAGATGACAAAATGTTCAAAGAGCCAGCTGGTCACGGATCCTCATTCTTGAGGTTTCCTTCATACCCCAGCAGTACCAGCAGACACAGCCAGAGACTTACCTCTCATTGGACCGTATCATGTAGTCATTAAATTCATGGTCTCCTTTGATCACCATCAAGGGAACTACCAGGTTGACATCGGACTCCGTGTTCCGCAGCTGGTTGAGTTTAATGTTCACAGAGAAAAGGTACTCCCGCACGTCGTCTGTGCCCACCTTCAGACCTTTGCACACCACATACCTGCAGGAGACATCGTGTCACTCCAAGGAGCTGAGCCTTCTCCCCACAGTCCTTCATTCCACCCTGTAGAGTCACAAGGCTAAACAGCCTTTCTGTTCAACCTTAAGTCGCAGCTCAAAGGGCAACACATAGCCTGCTTAAAAAGTACGCCCCCGGGCCGGGCATTGGTGGCGCATGCCTTTAATCCCACCACTCGGGAGGCAGAGGCAGGTGGATCTCTGTGAGTTCGAGGCCAGCCTGGTCTACAAAGCGAGTTCCAGGACAGTCTCCAAAACAATACAGAGAAACCCTGTCTCGAAAAACCAAAAAAAAAGAAAAAAAAAAGTACGCCCCCTCCAGTCTTCCCTTTCACAGGAATTCAGGGTGTTCACCTCTAGTCCTACTTGGGAGGCATAGACAGATAGGAGTTTAAGGCCAACCTGGTCTATGTAGTAATGCCCAAGCTAGTCAGGGCTATATTATAAAATCCTGTCTCAAAATAAAAAAATATAAAATCCTTCCCTTATATGTAAGACTGTTTCTGCTTCTATGGGGGTGTTCCCAACTGTCCTGCACTAACAGATATAACTTGGGAAGACTTTTAATTACAGATGTCATGAATCAAATTCCCTACAGAAATCTGAACTGTAACAGGCTACTGGACAATTCTGACTGGCTTGTTTTCTCTTATCTCACACATGGGTAACTGGATGCCTGTGGTGCCTCTGTATGGCAGCCCCCTTGCCTGTTCCCAGCCTACATCCCTTTCCGAGTGTCTCATTAATGGTCACACTCATCCTGGGCGAAGCTGAGAATCCCAGACAGAAGTATGGTAAACACAGCTGTGTCAGTGGCAGTCTGAACAATCACTCAGACCAAGGACCCTGGCTCCTACTGGAGAATCACAGCTCCAAAGTCAAGGTTTCTAACAGTTTGGGAGTCCATGCCAGACAGATGCACTTGTGACTGCTGACTTGTGACTGAGAGAGCAAGGCCTTACCGCTCTGAGTTGGCAGGCCGGCTGGTGATGGGCTTGAAGAGACACACACGCTCAAAGCAGCAGTACAGCAGGTAGACGAGCCCCACGCTGAAGGGTGTGAAGAGGTCAAAGGTTTTACAGATGAAGTGGCCCCCTGGATTGGGAAGAAAACCGCGGGCAATCAGTGGACTGACTCCTGACTGCTTTTCTTCCCTGTATTCGCCTAGCCACCAGACACCCAGTAAAAGGGCTTCTCTCTCTTTTCTTCTTCTTCCTTTTTCTATTTTTAAAAATTTCTTAACCAACCCCTATGCATGCTCTTGCAAGTCAACACGGTCCTCGGTGAGAGGATAACTGAGCAGTCTCACCTGTGCGGACAACAGACAGCGCCATGAGGAACTGGCAGAGCAGCAGCTGCTTGCTGAGGATCTCCTGCAGGTTCTCCTGCCCCTCCACAGAGAAGCCCTGGAAGGAGAACACAGGATGGAGAGAGGAATGGGAAGGACTGATGTCACATCCCCACCTCACCATCAGCAGAGCTCGTGGGGGTCCAGCCCAACCTGATCAGCGTTTCACTGCTTGTCTAAGCAGTGTGCTCAGTTACAAAGGACCCTGCTCTACCTGCTGAACTCCTAAACCACACAACCAAAGAAACGGTCCAGAAAATCTTGACATTTACATAGCAACCCAGAGGCAAGAAAGGCCAAAGAGAGGCAAAGTCACTGGTCAACCATGAGACAGAAAACATGGAAGTCCTAAGAAGACGAGGCAAATGTCAGGGGCACACTTTGCCGGACTCTGCCACTACACTGACCTCTGAAAGCCCCAGGTCTGACAAAAGAGAAAGATAGACTAAGGATTTACTTACAGTCCCACTCCTATCCTTAGCTGAGGAGCCCCTTCCCTCCAGCTGGCCCACTCTCAGGCCAGGGTTTGCTCCAAGAATGCATGTTGTGATTCCTAAAGCATCTCCCTTCAGCAGGGAGGTGCCAGCCACAAACTTACACTCACATAAAAGAGGCAAGCAGCCGGGACAAAGGACTGCTCTTTACTTCTGGAAACCAGCTGCACAGCAGAGTTGACTAGACAGGCACTACACCATCACATAGGACAAATGTGTTTATGCTATCATTATACAGCAGAGAGAGTACTAGCTTCTAGTAAGCTGCCCCCATAGGCCACATCTCACTGATGTAGTCCTATAAAAGTAATACTTGCCATTGTATCCCAGACTAAAAGATGCTTCTCAAAATTCATGTTTGCTGTAGAGATAATTAAATATTCAAAAACAAAGGCTGGAGATCACAGGTCAAGGCCAGATTCGTCTTATAGTTAAGTCTGAGGCCAGCCTGAGCTATTTCAGACACTGCCTAAAAAAAGAAAATTTAAAAAATAAAAGAAGGGAAAAGGTAATGTGATGGGGGTGGGAATGTTCAACGTACAATATATACTTGTATAAAAATACCCTTGTGTAACACATTACCATATAAAATGAAACAAAATTAGTCAGTAATAGAAATAAATCAAAAGGCCAGGCCAGCCCTCCTGCTGCCAAAGCAGAAAATCTTTGAGCTCTGCTTGCTGTCCACTGCAATAAAGAAAGAAAAGGCAGGACTGGCAGACCCCACATGCCTGATCAACAGAGCAGTCCCTTCCTCTTAGCCAGCCCCAGCCCTGTCCACCTGCTGTCCCCACTGTGTACAGGGCTCTAGGGAGCCAGGGTACCCTCAGATCCCTCTAACACTCCGCCTGCCTTCCTTCCACACGCACAGAGCTCACAAGGCCCTTCCTTCTCAACCCCAGCTGTGTGACCCGATAGCATATGGCACACTGCTTGTCTGTCCTTCCTCCAAAACAAGTGGTGGCTCCTAGCAGAAGGGATCACCTCTGGCATAACATCACTGGATGAGAGTGATGGTGGTTACTTCTCTCTGGACCCCAAGTAGCTGCTCAGGCGGGCCCCTGAAAATTCACTCCAACCAGCCAAGGGCCTCAGTGCATGAGCGGCTCAGGAGGCCACCTGTAGACAGCCTCCAACAGCAGCAACCAAGACGACAGACAAGTGATGGCAGGGTGTCTCCCATTCAGTTTAGCCTAGTTCACTTCAGCTGGAGGCCATGCCTCATCGGTTCCTCAGCAACTGAGGCTTTTCTGTCAGCAAAGTGAGCTCAAGCAAATGTGTCCATGTGTCTTTACAAAAAGTATAGGAAAATGTATAAAATAAGTAAAAATGTGCATCCCTACTATACGAACAGTGAGCATTTAAGGTGGCAGCTAAGAAACAAAAACGAAAGCATTTCTCAAGGGGGGGGGCACTCAGAAACAGAACACTTACTTAGCATGCCCAAGGCCAGGGGGTTCAATCCCCAGCACAGCAAACAAAAACAACCCTCTAAATTCACAACACATCCTTAAGGCATCTTTACAGAGACAGTTACCTACCCCATCTGCCATGAGAAAGTGGACACCTTTGCGATCTGTGTTGTCCAGGACAAAATTCCGAAATGCATTGATGTTTTCTGGGCGGGTGATATCTCCATCTCCATCGACCCCACCCTCACCTGATGGGACACAAGAACCCTGTGAGGTTACCTGCTGCTAGGAGCTGGGCCAGGAGCTCTCAGAGACAGTGAACACAGATACCAAGTAAGCTCCAAGACCGAGGACCCATCCTGCCTATGGTCGAAGAAGACTGGCAAGAACCAAGCCCTGCTCTCAGAAGCCAGGGTTCAAAGGGAACTGCAGCCAAGGTCACCAACTGAAGCAGAAAACCTTCCCTTTCAAAGGGTTTAGAGCCCATTGTCAGTCGGGATGGAGGCTCAGACCTGCAGGGATTCAGGAGGCAGAGAGAGAACTGCCCATAAATTTAAGGCTAACCTGGGAGTGTTAGGTTGGCCTGGAACATAAAGTGAAACCCCTTCTCTAAACATTAAAACATCTAAGCTGAGCATGATGGTGCACACCTTTAATCCTAGCACTTGGGAGGCTGAGGCAGGCAGATCTCTCTGAGTTGACATTAGCCTGATCTACACAGTGAGTTCCAGGCCAGCCAGGGCTACATAGAAAGACCCTGTCTACACAAACAAACTAGAAAGCAAAACCAAGACAAAAACACTCAACTTCAAGTCCAGTAAGGACTGTTAGGAATGAATTTAGGATTTGCTGACAGATCCCAGTCTGTTTGTCAGGGCAGGGGGACTGCAGCAGCTACTGAGCTGCCACTCCACACCACACACGGGCTGCTGCTCTGTGTTAACAACCTTGCCACTTTCCAGTTAGGAGTCAGGCGGTTTCATTATCCGCTTCACCACACAAGAACCACGATCCTGCAAGGAGGAGTCACTGTGGCCTTCATGAGAGGCTGCCTAAAAGAGTTCAGGCCTGCAGTAAAAAGGACACCTCAGATGGACCCAAGACTCTCATGCCAGTGGCTGTGAACCCTGGTTAGTAGTCTAGGAAGCAACAGCTTTGGTCTTCGGCCCCACACAGACGCTACCCTCATATTTCCTAGTCCCTCCCTGTTCAATGTCCTACCATAGTACGGCTCGAAGAGCTCACTGGAGGCGGAGTAGAAGTCCTCCAGTTTGAAGTCATTAGGGCCCTTCAGAGTCATCCCAAAGCCCTTTGCATGCCACTTCTTCCTCCACAGCACGTACTCTGAGAAGCCACCTGGGCCTGCGCAGACGTCAGCAAAGTACAGAAGGTCAATGTCCCGGTCCTTTACCAGTGGCTTCTGCAAAGGGAAGTGGACAACAAGGAGTAGGGAAAACAGATGACTCAGTGAGGAAAAGAAAGGAGAACTCAGGGAAGAGGCGGCAAAAAAATAAAAACCCAAAACTCAAACAAACAAGAAACCCTATAGAGAAGCATGATCCACAGCTCCTGCCAGCCCTCAACACAAACCAGTTGATTCTCCCTCAGTCACCAGTGCCCTCTGGAGCCTCCTCACCCAAAATAGCCTCAATACCTTTCACACAACCAGGCCAACTCAGACTCCTAATGGAACCATCTCTGTGCCTGTCAGAGTGCTGTTTTCATGATCCAGGTTGTTTCCTCACTACTCTGTGCCTTTTTTGTATCCTGGTAAGCAGAACATTGTAGATGGACTCACCAAGACACGAGCAACCTGCCCAAGGTTGCCCAGGGCAAGTAGAACAAAGCTAGGCCAGAGTCCAGAAGCCTCACCATTAGAGGACTGCTCTCCCTGAAGAGAAACCTGCCCACCTCCCAGCTTCAAGGACCTGCCTTCCTACACCATAGCCTCAATCTTCCCTCCCTGGCTCCTTTCTCCCCTTTTATCCTTAAATTACCTTTACTCTGGAGCAAGTTTAGACTTAGATAAAAGTTTCCAATATAAAATAGATAAAGTAGTCAGCACAGTAGGTGTGCAGCAGGAGTCTTTCTTACACTGTAAACACTGCACAGAGAGAAAACAACGTTTCTCAGCACTGGGGCCTGAGCCCCAAGCTCCAGTCTCTCTAGCCAAAGGTAAGCAGAAAGTCAAGGACTCAAAGTATCTGGCCTCCATAAGGTGCCTAAATATGATCTCATCCTGTGATTTCAAAACCAGTGGCTTGTTGGTGCACAATAGTGTTCACATACCATCCAGCACTTGGGAGACTGATGCAGGAGCATTATTTTGAGTTCAAGTATAGTCTGGGTTACATAGCAAAATCATGTCACAAAGTAAGAACCAAGGGCCTTTATAAGCCCTGTCCAGAAGTCTGCTCATAGAAAAACAGCTGGTTCTCAGCTCTGACATTTCCTCACTGTACAGTCAAGGGCAAGCACACATCTGGAGCTATTCAGCTCAATTGCTCAACTATAATTGAGATGAATATAGGTATTTCTCAAGGCTGTTGTAGGATTAAATAATGCAACCTGTGGCAAAGGTCTTTCTAAAACTATAAAGTCGTCACAAATATAAAATGGCATTATATTCAACTAGATCAACTTCCTCAGAGTCAAAACTCTTTATTATCTTTTTCATATTTTTCTCTCTGTTCTGTCAACTGCAGTATTGCATGTAAAGTGATCACCACTGATGCTGCCTTATTTCCACTATCAAAGCCAAAAAGTAAATAATCCACATTGACTTTTTCTTCTATCACACTTAACAGACAAGCTTTTCTTACCTAAACAACATCCTCAGGCACAAAACCCCTCATGTGATGTAATAATACCTCAAGGATGTAAATCCCCTCCTTCTTTGTTTCTTCCAATTCAACTTCTAATATTTCTCCTTCCCTAGTCCCCTTTTCCTTTCCCCATAACCCATAAGCACCAGAGACCAATTATGAAACCTCAGAATTATTATTCTCTCCCTCCCCACATCAGCCCAAGCTTCCATTTTTCCAATGCATAGGCAATAATTTGACTGGCCCAAACACCCCTAAGACTCCAGCATGCCTATGCTTCTAGCCACTTCCACCTCTGCTGGCAACGGCTCCCTGAAAACACACAAGGTCTGCTAGGCTCAGCTTTCACTCGGGTCCTCAGGGAAAATGGAGATGAAAAAGAAGTACACTGTAGTGCTAGAGAGAAACTAATTTTTATCGTGGGGTGCAAAGACACATCTCTGACAGGGCCATTCTCCCTGGCCACTAACAATCAATTCAGGTCAAGAAGCTGCCTGAAGCTGTCCAAACACACTGCATTTCCCTATGTAACAAACATCCACCCTCGACCTGAATGGTACAATCCTGGTGCCTACTTCATTCTTATGACAGAAAAAGACAATAACTAGATACCAGCTGCTGAGGGCAGACACACTCAAAAGCCCAGACGATGCTGTGGTTTCCCATCAGCTTAACAGAGCTTCTCCGCAAGGCATGGGCTTTGATGGAAATCACTGGGAGCTCAAAAAAAATCAAATCAACATTGTATCAACCTAATTTTCTCAAGATGCTAATTCCAAGAGTCTTTTATGCTGCCTGCTGGCCCTGGAACCTGGGGCCGGGGCCCTGGGAGGGAAAACGAGTGAAGGCTGGAGGGTCTACATGCCAGCTTTACCAGCACGCAGCAAGTAGTCAGGCAGGTGGAGCTCAAACAGCAAGGAACTTGGAAATCAGTTCCTCTAGCCGGTGGGTAATGGGGATGGGGGAGTCGAGTAGAATGAGGGTTCGCGAAGCAAAATCAGGTCCAGGGGCAGCTGGATCCTGGCCCTGTCACTATAAAGGAAACCAGCTTTCTAGGAGTTGGTAAAAATGCTTTGACCCCAAAGGGAATTCTAGAATGAAATCGCCTTTTTTGCTTCCTCTATCACTATGGAGGGCCAATGTTCAGAGAAATGAGATGTAGCAGAGCAGAAAATCATTTTGCTCTATCGCTTCTAGAGAAAGGCCAAAGCCTCATAATTATGATCCCACACTGAGCTTGTTCAGGATAGCAGAAAGAGAAAATGACCCTGCTTAAATCACAGATCTTTAGGGCCTGCACACTGGGACACTCCTGGGACCACGGAGCACTGAAGGACTCTATCTGGGGAATGCAGAGCAAAACACATCACTGCCACATAGCAGGAACACACTCGTACTGAACAAATGACACTCTCTGAGCTACTGAAGCTTAAGTCCACTCAGCACCACAAAATCTCACCCCATGAGAGTCCAGGGGATTTGTGAACATACGATCAAACACAAAGTCCATGTTAGCCATCTTCATTGCTGCCCTGTAACAAAGCAAGATGGGAAGCATGGGTCATTCCCACGAGCACAGAAACTGAGCCCCAGATGAAGGTGGGGTGGTGCAGGCAGGAAGGTAGGGTGCCCAGCTCACCTGTTGAGGAAGAAGACTCCTCGGATCATCTCATAGGGGTTGGCTCTGGTGCGAGCTCGCCTCATCTCCTCCCCATCCAGGATGTCAAACACACTCTGCCAAACGAGAAGACTCTACAATGAGCATCACAGCAGGCCTTCTGGGGCATGACCACGGTCTGAAGACTCACCTCCTCTGAGGAAGTGGGTCCTGTGGCACCTCAGCTCTGAACTACCCAGTTGTGTAACCCTGACAAGCTTCTCAATCACTGACCCTCAACTACCTCACATGCAGAGTGGTAAAAATCCCAACGAAGCAGACGCCAGGCTATAGCTACGTGGTTAAAAGCACCTCTGCTACACAGAAAGCCAGCTCTGTGCACAGCTAATTCTCACCGCAAGCTGTTTCCCTGTGTCATCACAACCTCCCAAAGGATTTGAGTCCTGGAATTCAGGATCCCTTGACTGGGACTCTACACTTAAAAACAAAAACAAGCTGGTCGATGGCGGTGCACGCCTTTAATCCTAACACTTGGGAGACAGAGGAGGGAGCAGGTAGATTTCTGAGTTCAAGGCCAGCCTGGTCTACAGAGCAGGTTCTAGAACAGCCAGGACTACACAGAGAAACCCTGCTTCCACAAACAAACAAAACAAACCTAAAAACAAATCAGGACCAGAGTCTCCTACACACACACACACACACACACACACACACACACACACACACACACACACACGGGGATGGGGGTGGGGGAGTGTCTCTAGAAACAGGAATCCTCCTTACACTTGAGAGTCACCTTATGTATATTCCCAATCCGGTCTGCCCCTTCACCCGAAAGAAGAGAGTTTTGTGAGGTAGCCTTCATTCTATCCAAGCCCACTTCCTCCTCAGAGTACCCCAGGTATGTGTTTCCTGACCTGCAGTCAGGCTAGAAGGTGTGAGGGGAAGCTAACACTTCCCCAAGTGTTGCTACACACTCTGACTTCCGACTTCATTTAACACTCACAACACCCAGAGAAGTACTTTCTACAATTTTACAGAGAAGACAAACTCAGAGGCACCTGAGCTACAAGCCCAAGGTCACACAGCAAAAATACTATAGGAACGAGGATCTATTTGATGCTAAAAAAAAAAAGACTCTAAATTGTCACTTCCCCAGGCCCCGCGAGTATTAGCCGGATCTGACACACTGAGGTTGAGCGAGTCCTTTGCTGACTATTGACCACAGGGACAGCAAAACAGGTCAAGGCCAGACATTTATCAGAAAAACACCCCCTGGGACATACGCATCACGGGTACTTCCCATCTACAGGAGCCAAAAAGAACTAGAAATCCCCATTCCCCTAACCCAGCCCAGCCTCACCTTGCACCTCAGCACGCTGTGAAGCAGCTCTTCCCCACAGAACTCTGTTTCATCTTCAATAACCATCTTTCTCTACAGGGACAAGAAATCATAAACATTGACCAAGTGTGACTATTTACTGGAGAGTGGGGAGATTAGGGTTCTGAGTGCTCAGAGCAAGAAGGGGCTTAAGTCCCTGCCAAGAAACATCAACCCCTGAGGGGCAGGAGACAATTCCAAATCCCTCTGGCTGGGCTCCAGATGGCTGTGGGATGGCACAGTCTGCTGGGAGCTCTGGGAAGAATACCATATGGTCACAGCACGCCCAAATGCTGAGGCTGGAGAGAGCACACAGGAAGGGGACACACAAGCCGTCTGCCCCAGAGCCAGAAAGGCAGAAGGACAAAGCTCCCCCACGTAACAAGCCTGTCTTTCACTCTGAGATGGGCAGAAATGCCTGATACCAGGCATTGACTTAGTAATGTAACAGAAAACAAGGGCCCAACCAGCACTAGGCCTTGTAGGACACTGGGTTTCAGCCCAGCCAAGTGTTACTACCTCAAAAACAGCTTTTCCCATGGGTGTATGTGTGTGCGCACAAATATGTGCAGGCCCATCCATGCCATGGCATGCATGTAGTGTCCAGAAGACAATCTCAGGAGTTGGTTCTCTGCAGGCAGTCACATTGGATCACATCAGAAATCACTCAGGTTTGCATACAGATGTCTCTACCCACTGAGCCATCTTGCTGGCTCAAAGTCGTAAGGGAACTGAGTGAGAGTGTATGTCCAGTACAGAGTGCTTGTCTAGCATGTATAAATTCAATCCTCAACACTCAAAAAACCAATGAAACCCCCAGGAGTTATTGTTTATATGAATGAGTTAGATAGAAGTTTATTAAAAGAAATCAAAATAGACATTAAATATTTCTTTTTACTTCAAAAGAATAATATGTTAAATTGTTTTATTTAAAATAACATTACTTTAAAAACAAAGTTTAGAAAGTAGTTATAGTTTCACTGCTGAAAATTCTACAATGTGGGGCTTGGTTAGAAAAGGAGGGGCCTGGTTCCATGCCTTGCTTTTGCACTACAGTCAGCTGTCCCAGTGCAGGCACCGGTCTCTGGAAAACCCCATTAGACAAACGGAGAAAGTCAGAGAGAAAAGAACAAACACTCAGTGTCGTGAAGGCAGCTTTGACTTTGGAGCTCCTGAAGTCATCCTACTTCTAGAGACCACACTGCGGTGGTCATCAACCATCTCATCTTCAGTTTCCAGAATGAGAGTAAACAAATGCCTCTGCTGACAATGTCCTTGTCACTCTGAAGACAGGAACGGTGTCCTTTTACTTACCTGATTGCAGACATGCGCACTGACACACAAGCTACTCCAAAGGCATCCCCACGGAGGGCAGAGATGACATATCTCCTAGGGCATGCCCCTGCGACATGGCTTCCACATTTTTTCTAAAACTACAGTAAGCACACACTAGTTTCAAGGGAAAGAAATAAATCCTACCTTTCCCACAACCATCCAGTCACTCATTTCCCGAGAGTCAGGAATCTCAGTGGTACATTCTGGAAACCATGACACCTGCTCACAGGCACTGGGCTACAAACGAAAGAGGCGGAGAAGTTAGATAAGGTAGGCCTTTAGGATTCTGCCCCAGCTCACCAGGGCTTCCCCAAAACAATTCAGAGGCACTCAAAAAGGTTAAGAAGGATCTAAATTGGTGACACTAAATGCAAGTAGTCAGACATGAGAAGTGAAAGCTAGAATTTAAGTTCAGCTTCTGAAGGACAGCTCCAACTCTATTTGAATCCTTTAGAAAATTTCTGGCCGGGCGTTGGTGACGCACGCCTTTAATCCCAGCACTTGGGAGGCAGAGGCAGGCGGATCTCTGTGAATTCGAGGCCAGCCTGGTCTAAAGTAAGTTCCAGGACAGCCTCCAAACCCACAGAGAAACCCTGTTTCAAAAAACAAAAAAGAAAGGAAGAGGGGGGAGAGAGGGAGAGAGAGAGAGAGAGAGAGAGAGAGAGAGATTCTGAATCTTCAATTTTCTCTCATTTGTTCCACTATTATTTCATGAATACCTATTGTAGGCACTCAGACTGCAGAATAAAGTGAGACATGTCTTTGACCTTAGGCGTTTAATAAGAGAATGAGGATAGAGAAATACCTAGGCAGTGTCACATAAATACAATTCTCTGAAAAAGTAAGATTCAGTAGCACTTAGCCTCACTTCCTAATGCTAATGCCTCCAATGTCATTCACAGAATAACCCAGAAACCAGGAAACAGTGTCCCCCCAGCACTGACTCTAGGATAGTAGGCAAGCACAAGTTCATCTCTAATGTCTGCTTTCTCTTGGCTTTTCAAGTACTTTCCTGAACAGACTGGAACAGGGTTCTTAACTGCTGTACATGAGCACCACTTGCAGAGCTTTCAAAGAGTAATACTTTTCAGAGCATATGGTTGAGGTTGGTCTGATGTGGGGACTGTACGTATTAAGTCTGCAAATAATAGTACAGTGACTCCAGGACTAAGTGCCACTGGGCTAGAAAAAAATGTGGATTCTAAAACCTATGCAGGTAGCTAACCTGAGTGTCAGCTGAACAGATTGCTTCCCAAGCAAGAGATTCACCACTGCAAGTGGAAGCAATGTGATTAAAGGTAATGTTGCATGCTCTGAAAGGCATATAATGGTATTACAATGCAAAGTCTCAAGGGCAAGCCTACCACCAAGGCACAAAAGTACAAAGAAAACCACTGAAGCCTTCGTGCATGAATCTGGCAGTGAGTTATGGTTTCTCCTCCCATTCAAATGCCCACCTTTAAGCACAAATGTAAACTATAAGCTGTACACAATAAAAAACTCATATATACATTGGACATTCATTTGTTGAACAAAAGCAAAACCAATCTCGCCATTGAAGCCTGGACATTAAGACTATCCAGGGGATGGATCTGAACTTTACACACTGCACTCCAAGAGCCCTGATCACTTTATCGCTGTGACCCGGCCAGTCTCATCTGTCTTAAAGAAGCAGCTACTGATGGGGGACGTTCTTCTACATATATGTTTCTCTTACTGGCTGATGATTAAAACACTGATTGGCCAGTAGCCACAGCAAGTAGAGGCGGGGCTATCAGAAGACGAGGAGATTTTTGGGGAGGATGCAGACAGTGAGCAGCAAGAGACACCATGTAGCTGCTGAGGAAAAAAGAGACCCGGGCATCACCAGGTAAGCCAAGAGCTCCTGGAGATATGCGGATTAATAGAAATGGGCTATTAAGAGACAGCTAGCCAGTAAGAAGCCTGAGTCATCGACCAAACAGTTTCTAATTAATGTAAGTCTCTGTGTGTTTATTAGGGCTAAAAGGTTGTGGGACCAGGTGGGACAGAAACTCCATCCACAAGCTACCAACTGGCTTTGCAGCCAAACTCTTCCTTCCTTACCAGGCAGCTTCTGTCTGAGAAAAATGAATTATGGCCACTGGTATCTGCAACAGCTTCACCATAAAAAGGGGTTTTTGTTTAGTAGCCTATGTCCTTAAGAGAAATTTTTACAACCAACTTTCATACTTCAAATTTAACAGGGAACTCAAGTCCTGCCCCACTCAAAGGACCAGAGCCTCTAAGTACTTGTTTCCACACAAATGAGGACAAGGAAAACACTCAGTGTCTCTAAAGCAAAAGCCTACGTGTAGTCGCAATTGTAGCAGTGTCCCAGCATTCAGAGCACAGCTGCTTACCTACAGGCACTATGCAGACAGTCAGACAACTGTACTGTTTCCTAGCCTCACGTCCACAACTCTGATGTCCCAGATTTTTATTGTTTCAGGGTACTTCTATTATACTGACTTCAAATTCTTTGAGGAATAAGGTAAAAATAAATAAAACTTTATCACTATCTATGCATGCAAATTAATTTTTAATTATTCTTTTTAAGATTTATTTAGCCGGGCGTTGGTGGCGCACGCCTTTAATCCCAGCACTCGGGAGGCAGAGGCAGGTGGATCTCTGTGAGTTCGAGGCCAGCCTGGTCTACAAAGTGAGTTCCAGGACAGCCTCCAAAACAATACAGAGAAACCCTGTCTCGAAAAACCAAAAAAAAAAAAAAAAACCAAAAAAAAAAAAAAAAAAGATTTATTTATTATGTATACAGTGTTCTGTCTGCATGTAACCTGCAGGGCAGAAGAAGGCACCAGACCTCATTACAGATGGTTGTGAGCCACCATGTGGGTGCTGGAAATTGAACTCAGGACCTCTGGAAGAACAGCCTGTGCTCTTAACCTCTGAGCCATCTCTCTAGCCCAAGAATGAGTTTTAAAATTGAGCCTGGAGATATAACTCAGTGGTAAACTGCTCTCCTGATATGTATGATAACTGGTTTGATTCTCAACAATGCAAAAAAAGTTTCTCTGTCTCATCACATATACAACCAAGTAATAAGCAACTATGCAGCACAACAGGAGAACTGTACACAAGCAAACACATATTCGGAGTCTGGGTACCAAAACTGGTGAAGACAGAAGAATGTCAGAAGCTTGTAATCTGTCTCACACCCAAGGGGCAGTGGGTGCCCATTCACTTGTTAAGCTCTCCTAGCAGAGAGAGAGCTCGCTAGCCTATGAAGTTTAACGGTCTACTAGGAATATTCCCCTTAACTATTAAAAGTTCTTTGTGCAGTCAAAGGCTTCCTCCTATCATATTCTATCTAATAGTCTTAGTTCTAGAAAACAACAGAAACAAAGTTGATGGAGGAAGTCCTGTGTATATGTCAATAAAGCACTGTTGGCCAATAGGGAACCAAGACAGGTGGGACTAGGAGTCCAGGAGGACTCTGGGAAGGAGAAACACAGGAGTCAAGATATAACGCCATGGGGTAGGAGGCCTGGAAACCTCTCCGGTAAGAGAAATGCTTAGATTAGCAATTATGGGATAAATACTTAAGTCAGAGCTAGCCAGTAAGAAACAAGCAAGGCCAACAGCTTCATAATTAACATAGACTCCTGTGTGTTTATTTGGCACTGATGCGGCTCTGGAACCAGGCTGGCGGGAAGGCTTCTCTCAGGGAAGGGTTCCCTTTACACAAAGTGATATCTGAATACTGCCGCAAATGTTCATTTCATTTTGTTAGGGTTTCTATTGATGTGATCAAACACCATGACCAAACAGCAGTTTAGGAAGGAAAGTGTTTATTTCCCTTATACTCCACATCAGAGCGCATCACTGAAGGAAGTCAGGGTAAGAACTAAAACAGGGCTGGAACCTGGGGGCAGGAGCTGAAGGCCATGGAGGGCTGCTTATGGCTTGCTCATTATGGCTTGCTCAGGCTGCTTGCTTTCTCTTCTTTCTATTTCTAGGTAGGGTTCTCTGTGTAGCCCTGGCTGTCTTACAACTCACTCTGAGACCAGGCTGGCCTCGAATTCACCTGCCTCTGCCTCCCGAGTGCTGGGATTAAAGGCGTGTACCACCAACGCCCGGACCTCTTCAGGGTTCTAATGTGTTAAAACATGGTTTCAGAGAACTACCCAAAAATACCAGTAGCCATTCTGTTTCCTCCACCCTCCTCAGTTTACCTCTGGTTCATCCCGCCAGTCCACATTCAGCTCCCGATCAAAGCCCTGCAGTGTCAGACCCAAACCACGGCGGCCTTTCTGATTGGAGGTCTCCACGATGTCCTTCCGACCCTGGCTGTATTTACCCAATCCTTCCCCTTCCCTGAAGCCCATCTTGGCCTGGAAAAGGAACAAAGCACAGTTAATCCAATCAACAGGTATTTATTTAGTCCCTATCACAGGTCATACACTGTGATAAACCCTGAGAAACAGATGAGTGAGGCCTCAAGTTTGCCTTGTAGCCTAATGGTGAAAAGAAGCATAAATAATCACTGTCTATTCTGCAGGTGAAGTCCAGGGCAACCTGATGGTAGCTAGATACATGAAAGGGGGACCGTACAACTGTAATTAGCACCCAGAATGCTTAATGACTCTCACTGGACATTTGCACAGCTCCCCTTTGCAGCTCCTTTGACATATTAAGTGGAAAGGAGATCCAAGATAGAGCTGATAAAGAGAACCTAATTTAGGATAAAGCAGCTTCAAGCAGTAGCTTCTACCTTACCCTTTGCCCAGGCTTGTGGGCTTGCAGGAACCTATTCAGTTATGAGAGTAACTTCATTTGCTTCATGTAAAAGAGGAGGAGGACACTTTAAGGTCCTGGCACAGAAATGCCTTTCTGAATGTCCTGTCTATAAGTTCATGCTAAACTTCAGAGTTACTAGACAAGGGTAAAACCTCAAAGATCAGGGACCCAAAACCCAAATCAAAGCACTTAGCCAATCAAAGAACTTTAATGCAGAGGTCTAATTCCTCCTGGAGGGTCTATATTCTGTTTGAAAGCTGCCACTGCCATTCACGGACCGGACAAATTCTGGATTGCACCCACAAGTCCTTTCCTTGGGTCAGAGGCTAAGTCATGAACTTCCCATGTTCCACTGACCGAAGCTCATAGACTTCAATAGCATCCTGACCTCTGACTTCAGCAGGAGCTCATCTCATTCTTAAACTAGTCCAGCAAAATGCAGGAGCCAACCATGACATTAGTGAGGCTGGACAGAAGACAAGCGTGGACTTCTCTCAACTTTGTATGGCCACTAAGTTTTAATGAGGAAAGTGAGCAGGTTTCCCTTTTCCTCTTGCTACCTGTAAGTGTATGTGAAAGCTAAGAAGGACAGGGGGGCCTTCTGAACAGTAGAAGGAAATGAGGAGGAAATGGGGGAGCAGGAAGGTTGAGTCCAGGGAAGAACAGAGGAGAGCAGGATGAGAGATACCATAAGAAGGGAGCCAATATAGGTTTTAGGAGAGATCTAGCACTAGGGATATTTCCAGAGATCTACAAGGATGACACCAACTGGCAATCTAAGCAGTAGGAGAGGCTACCTTAAATGCCATCCTAGAGTCTTGATCCAGTGGCTGATAGAAGCAGACACCCACAGCTAAACACTGAACTGAACTCCTGGAACCCAGTTGCAAAGAGGGAGGAGTGATAAGCAAAGGGGTCAAGACCGGGCTGGTAAAACCCACAGAAACAGCAGACCTGAACAAGGGGAGCTCATGGACCCCAGAATGATGGCTGGGAGGCCAGCATGGGACTGATCCAGACCCCCTGAATGTGGATGTCAGTAAGGAGGCCTCCGCAATCTATGGGGCCTCCGGCAGTAGATCAGTATTTATTCCTGGCATACAAATGGACTTTGGGAGCCTATTCCACATGGAGGGATGCTCTCTCAGCTTGGACACATGGGGGAGGGCCTAGACCCTGTCCCAGATGATATGACAGACTTGGGGATCCCCCATAGAGTGCCTCACCCTCTCTGGGGATCAGAGCGGGGATGGGGTGGGGGATTGGTGAAAGGCAGGGGAGGAGGGGAAGGAGAGGAAGCTGGGATTGACATGTGACGCAGGCTTGTTTCTAATTTAAATAAAAATAAATTAAAAAAAAAGTAGAAGGAAAATACTTACAACCTAGCCTGTGTCAACTGTGCCACACCCCAACCAACACCAATACACACTTCCCCTCTTCCTCCCACCCTCCTGGGCAGTTGTTAAAATCCATTCTAAACAATGACGTACCATAAGCTTCTGGGAAACACTATTATACATGGAATATCGGGAAGAAGTTCCCTCCACAAGGGAATCTGCTTTGAAGTCATCTTTGAAACCATCGGAGCAGGGCTGCTTCCCCTCAGGCTCACTGTCGGATCCACTAAGGCTTGTAGTAGATGCTGGAAGAGAGAGAGATGTTTGGGTGAGTCCAGGTCACCAAACTGCTCCGCACATTCATACCCCACTTATTCAGCTTACGTCTAGTATGTGTCCTGCACTGAGTGGAGCTCATTCAACGACCAGAGTGACATCACTACTCTTACCAGCGGTATGATCTTGGACAAATCACCAAAGTTCCCGCTTGGCACAGACCACATGGCAACTATGGCTGCTTGACAAAAAGTTCCATCATTTTGACTTCTAGGACCACAATTCTCCAGCACCCTTTACTTTCATTGTATATGGCTTTTACTATTAAGCCTTTCTTGTGGGCTTCAATGGAGAATGAGATGTACACAATGGTAGCCTCTTTTTAAATGTTATTTACTTAATTTAATATTTTATGTATGAGTGCTTGATTTTCATCCATGCCTGCAGGGCAGAGAAGGGCATCAGACCCTGGGATTGAAGTCAGGACCTCCTGAAGAGTAGCCAGTGCTCTTAACCACTGAGCCATCTCTCCAACCCCATAATGGTAGCCTCTTAAAATAATTCTTTGGAAAAAATCCCCCCCACCATGATAATTCTGGTTACTCCCACACAAATTAACACCAGAAAATTTAGATAAGTAACATATGCTTGATAAGTAAGGTGTATATTTGATAATCAAGATTTATAAACTCCTAAGGTCTATTTAGGTTCACAGTAATGTTTGTCTAGCTTCCTCTTTGCTCATTTTAAGCTTTAGCTATTTGGATACTCTGCAATATAACTGAAACATTCTATGTTGGAGTGTGTGGTCCCCCAAGAAAGTCCTTTTCCGAAGATCAGGCATTTAGACAAAAGTCTCCACTCTCTCAGGAGCTTGAACAAAGTCCCTGCTTGCCAAAAAACCGGAGTCATTCTTCTCTCTGGCAAAAGGAACTTGTGACTCCTCTATTAACATATAATTGGTGTCTATTAACTTGTCAAGCTCACTGCTAACTTCAATCTGAGATCACAAGCCACACCCCAGCTCACATGCCCCTTTCTCCCATTTAATCCTTTGTGCAATTATACAGAAGAAAAGGGGATCAGAGAGGAGCAGCCATCTGGATTCACCCTCAAATCCACACCTCCTCTTTGGGATCTTAACCCCATGGAAACTGGACTCCGGCACCTACTGGTATGTAACACAGCAGGAACTCACACAATCATTTTCCTACCTCACCTGTGCACCATCAAAGTGAGATGGTGACACCTGCCTCACAGGGCAGCTTACAAACTAAAGCAGTACACGAGAAAGCACACTATCAAATGTGAAAAGTGAAGATGCCACTTTTTTCTGCTACTGTTCAGTATTTAACATCTATTTCTTCTAAAAATGTATCTTCTCGTTTGTATCACATCTGTCTGTATGAGTTACTGGGGAGGGAGTATGAGTGAAGGTCAGGGATAGAATCTGTTTCTCTCCTTCTACCAAGTGGGTTCTGGACTGAATTCAAGTCTGCAGACTTGGCAGCAAGCACCTTTACCTGCGGAGCCATCTTTCTAGCCAAAATTTCTAAATACTGATTGTTTAACCTCCTAGTTAGTTCTCTTTGCATTCATAGTCCTTCAAACTAGCAGGCAAGAGAGTAGGTCTTCACTGAAGCTGGCTACAGAAAGAAAAAGAGGAGAGAAAAGAGTTAAGTGTTGTTATATAACATCTGTTTATGCCCCAGAATATTACTTTAACTGTGTAAAGATGTGTTACATTTGTTTCTGCTGCCTTTCTAATGTAAAGGTGTGTTACATGTTTCTGCTGTATTTGTTTAATTATGTACAGATGTGTTGCATTTGTTTCATCTTGCCTGCCTAAGGCACCTGATTGGGCTAATCAAAAGGTGACCAGACAATAGTGAGGCAGGAGAAATAGGCGGGGCTGGCGGGCAGAGAATACATAGGAGGAGAAAGGAGAGAAGGAGAGAGCAAGGAAGAAAGAGAGGAACGTGCCTGAGGCCAAAAGCCAGGCAACCTCCAGCCAGTCACACAGGAGAAGCAATGAAAGTAAAATATACAGAAGAAAGGAAAAAGGCCCTGAGGCAAATTGTGGATGAAGAGAAACAAGTCAAGTTATAAGAGCCTACGCTAAGGCCACGCATTCATCATCAGTAAGTCCTATGTCATGATTTGGGAACTGGCTGGTGGCCTAAAAGAAAAAGGCTGCTACAGGGAAAGGGAGAAGGAAAAGAGGGAAGGAGGGTAGGAGTGAAGACTAACTCCAACAGGGCCACCAACTGAGCAGACAGTAGAACAGACAGAGTAAACAACGCTACAGGAGGGGCTGAAGCCTGAGCAGGCCGAGCGTTCCTCTCCACTGTCCACTAACCTTGTCAAAGGACTCCACATAAGATCTAAGCAGCTGCCAGAAAGGATGGGCTGTCCTTTCATCAAGCTGCGATGCTTTTCAGTCTGGGTATCCATATTTACTGTTACGTGCTTAATGAATCTATTTACTTGAAGGTTACTTCATCCAAAGTAATTTTATCCTACTGTCATAAATACCATGACCAAAAACAACTTGAGAAAGAGTTTATTTCATCTTAAAGCCTACTGTTCTTCAGGGAAATCAGACCAAGGACTCAGGACCCCCCCCGCAAGAGCTGAAGCAGAGACCAGGGAAGAGAGCTATTTACTGGCTTGCTCTCCATGGCTTGCTCAGCCTGCTTTCTTAAGCAACCAAAGACTACCTGCCCAGGAATGGCACCACCTGCAGTAGGCTGGACCTTCCTACATCAATCATTAACCAAGAAAATACCCTACCGGTCAATGTGACAGAGGCATTTCTCAGTTGAGATTCCTTATTCCCAGATGGCCCTGGCTTGTGTCAAGTTGACAAGAACCTAGTAAGCACAACTGACCATTTGTCAGCTTGACACACAAACACGCCACTATCAACTACAATCTTTCCTTTCCCATTTGTCCCTAAAATGCCGTGCTAATATTAGTGTCACAATATAAAACACAGCTTCAAAAGTCTCAGTCTTAAAAAATAAAAACCTCTAACACTTTAAAAGTTCAGTCTCATGTTCAGTTGCTATCACTGGGAAGCCTGCTCTTTTCTAAAGGGAAATGGGGGAGGGTGGGGGGAGATGGACTGGCGGAGTGGAGGGAGAGCCTTGTAACTGTGGGCTCCTGTGAAGCCCAAATAAGTTACATGGGAAGAACAAAGGCACAGTCACAATCAAAACCGAAATTCAACAGTGTAAAAAGTTAGCTTGATATCTGGGACTGACTCCTGACCTTCTAGGCTGCAAGGGCCTAGGCAGCTCTGCCATTCACAGCACATCAGCTTGTCTCAGGCTCCGGGCCACTCCCCTCCACAGCTGCTGCTGTCCCCGGTGGTCACTGACACTGTACTAGTGTCTCCAATGGCCTCTCCTGACCTCTCAAAAGTGCCAAGCCCCCACCACTCTGTGATCCTTCACAGCGCCAAGTGAGAGAATCTTACACACTATCAAGGACACAGTGAGCCATAGCTTTGGCCACCTCTTGACCACTGCTTCTGTGTGCTGACCCTACGGAAATAACTCCCAGAAGTTTTCACCTCAACAATGTTGGTCTCTTGTTATAATCCGGTTAATCAGCATTAGCTGTCCCAATAAAGCAAAGGTTTTACCTTGGTGGTGCTGACCCCTTCTTAATCAGTCACATCTAACTAGAACTCCAGATTCTTGACTCGAATTTCACATGAATAACCAATGACTCCATAGTCTTTAAGGACTCTCGAACTTCCCTCTGAAACCGCACAAGCCAGGCCGTCCATCGTCTGCACTGCTCTCAGCAGTGTCTTCCAGGTTCCCACGACAGCTGGGTCAGCACTGTGCACTCCACAGCTTTTCCAGCCCCAAATTCTAAACACCTCCACAGTCCTCCCCCAAACACCATGGTAGGTCAGTTACAGCAATACTCCATGAACCTGGCACCAAGCTGTCTTAGTCAGCGTTTCTAACTGAGGAAACACCAAGACCAAAAGCAAGCTGGGGAGGATGGGTTTGTCATCTTAGAAGGCAGGCGTCAGGGCAGGAACCTGGAGGCAGGAACCAGAGCAGACACCACCAAAGAGCAAGAGAGAAGAGCAAAGACTTAAAGCTGCCTCCTGGCTTGCTGAACTCGTTTCTCACATAATCCAAGACCACCCGCCAGGGTGGCACAGCCCACAGTAGGCTGGGCCCTACCACATCATTAATCAAGAGAATGTGACACAGGCTTGTCTATAGGCCAGTGTGATGGAGGCATTTTTCTCAACTGAGCTTCCTTCTTTCCAGACGACTCTAGCTTGTGTTAAACTGACAAAAGAAACTAGCCAGCACAAGAGGTTTCTGAGATAAACCCACCTGAATCTGGAAATACTCTCAAAAGTTTAGGCAGGAATTTCTCACATTTCACTAAAAATGGTACAGACAACAGAGAACTAGGAGGAATGCAGAACAGGAAATAAGGGTGGTGATGTCCAATCTGATGCCAGGGTTTAAGAAGTTGGGCAATTCTAGCACTCAGGAGACAGAAGCAGGTGGATCTCTGAGTTCAAGGCCAGCCTGGTCTACATAGTTTTCCAGGACAGCTAGGGCTAGACAGTAAGACCTTGTCTCAAACACTAAATAAAAGTTGGACAGTGCTCAGCAGTGCACACATCTTAGTAGTAACAGGTTACCTACTTAGAGATGAGGAGCACAGGGACAGGAGGAATCCTGCAGCTTATTAGCCAGCCAGCAGCTAGTCTACAGAATTGATGAGCTCTAGGTTCAGTGAGACACTGTCTCAAAACAAGTGGAAAGCAACTGAAGAAGAAACCACCCAGTGTGAATATCTGGTGTACACACACACACACACACACACACACACACACACACACACACACACACAGAGTTAATGTAACTAACACTTGAGTTTCTTGCAAGAAAACATAAGAACACTTGCTATATGCATTGAAACAGATCACCAAGACTGTCAAAAAATAATAGAAGGTAGAGAGGTAGAGTTGAGGCCCACTGCACAA